GACCTATAGGGTGGAAGAGAAGTCCATTTGTAGGATGTGCTGATGGAAATATTTTGCTGCTGAACACAAAAGAATAACTGAAAGACTACTATTGTATAGCTCATTCTCCTGTTTACCCTATTTGGTGTGTTCTTTCCATTCTCATTCATGGGGATGTGATCAATTTGCTCCCTCTCTAGAACATCTTTTAGTAGTCTGTGTAGGCTTGGCCTTGTCATCATGTTGCTATTTGTCATAAAAGTATTTCACTTCTCCATTATACTTGAAAGAGAGTTTTGCAGGATAGATCAGTCTGGGTTGGAATTTGTTTCCTTGCAAGACTTGAAGTACTTTGCTCCATGCTCTTCTTGACTTGATGGTTTGTGAAGAGAAATCTGCCGGATCTTGATTATTATATGTCTGGGTGTGGTTTTCATTGGGTTGATGTTATTTGGAGTTCTATATGCTTCGGTTAGCTGAATATCAGATTGTTGCCCCATATTTGGGAAGTTTTCTGCTATTACTTCTGCCCATATTCTTTTTATATCATTTATATTGACACCTTTCTTCTCATTGATGCCTATTAGTCTCACATTGTTCATCTTTGCATCGTCTTGCAGGTATTAAATTATTTTTTCCTACATCCTAGCTGTTTTAAAGAGATCTTTTCTTACTTTTTCGCTAGCTGCAATGGTGTCTTTAAGGTTAGAAAGTCTATTTTCACTTTCACTCAAATTTTGCCAGCTTGTGATTGAGGTTTTAATTTCCTGTGTATCACTTTGAATCTGTTTCATACATTCTATTTCTTTCCTGTATTGCTTATTCAGGGGTTCCATCATTTTTATATTCTGCTCTATTTTTTATCAGTGTATTCTTTAGAAGCACTTAGTACTTCTTTGATTAGAGTTACCACTACATTTTTTAGTTCCGAAATTATTTCTGATCTGATTTCTTCTATACCTTTCTGCAGTTGGTTCTTTACTGTCAACACTATTACTTCAGAGATATCTGGCGTGTGATTTCCAGTTTCCTCAGTGCTAGTGTCTTCTGCATTTGTACTGGGTGGACTTGCGGCCTGAGACTGCACTTTGTTCCTTCTCTTTGTCATTTTGTATACCACTGTCTTCTGACCTTTGGTATAGAGCTTAGAGTTACTACCTTCGCACCAGGTCCGGATCTATGAAGTTCGGATTCCTCCAGGTGGGTGTTGCTTGGATCTGGCTGCTGTGCTCCACTTCTTTCTGCTGCAGGAGTTGAACCCTCTGTGTCTCTCTGGCAAGATGTTCTGCTCCTGAATCAGCTGGGTGGGTCTTGCCTCTAGCCTCTTTGCAGGGAGTCTGCTGCAGGGTTCCATGCTGGGCCTGCGCTCTGGGTCTATTCAGGATCCCGCGGCCCCTGGTGGTCTCACTCACACGCAGGGCCTGAGCTCTGGGACTATTCCGGATCCAGCGGCCCTGGGTCCTCTCACTCACTCGCTGGCCCACGCTCTAGCACTTCGTTTGTTCTTCAGCTGTTTGCTTCCCCAGTGCCCAGGCCAGGCCCAGGCGAAATGAACGCAGGCGCGCCCTTCTGCTTGTCTGAACTTTCAGAAGGGAAACCAGGAAGCCGCTCCTGGCCACACCAGCAGCCCTGGAGCCAATCTTTATGAAATAACATCCATTTCTTAAAGGCACTGTGGCAGGCATGGAACACAGGCAGAGAAAGAGGCACAGTAAAACAGCACAAGTGGGCACAGGGAAGTAAAATACCAGTCGCACACCACGTTTGCCACGTGTCCCCGGTGCAGGATTTAAGGGAAAGCAGCAGATAAAAACAAAGAGGAAGGCGCTGGTGAGATGGCTCAGTGGTCTAGGGCACCTACTTGGAGCAAGCTTAGCCAAAGCACAGGGACCGCGGTTCAATCCCCAGCACCACATGCCAGCCAGCCCCGCCCCCTGGTGGGCTGAGCTGGCCACACACACACACACACACACACACACACACTAAATAAATAAACTTTAAAAAAAAAGAAAAAAAAAAACAAAGGGGAACCCTGCAACTTTGCGGGGACCAGCAGCCACCAGCTGTGTCTGCACTTCTGAACTTCAGCTGAGCTAGAAGCTCGAGCTATGATCGTGAAAGGTTCTGGTTGCCTGCGTTGTCTTTCACTCCATGAAAATGAAAGAAAGGATAGAGAGCCTGGGGGGGGGGAATGAAACCCCAGTCGGCACAGCGGACAGTCCCGAAGGCGAAGGCGAGCGCGGCGGGGCGGGGCAGGGCAGGGCTTTGGGAGTGTTCATTGGAAAGGTACTGTCCGTATGCAATAGGCAGCTTTAAATGCTAACTTTCACTATTCATATTTTGATATTCAGAAGACAAAGTCTATTTTACAGATAAGTGACCTGTAAATTTCTATCAAGAAGAAAAACCACAGAAAAGCAAAACAAAACAACAACAACAAAAACCTTCCTCCTGAATTTACTTTCTGGAAATACAAGTTTTTTGGGTTTTTTTTTGCAGAACCGGGGATTGAACTCAGGCCCTTGCACTTGCCAGGGAAGCGCTTATTTTACTGAGCCATCTCCCCGGCCCCCAATTTTAAGCCTAGTACTTTTTTTTTTTTTTTTGGCAGTACCACTGATTGAACTTGGGACCTTGCCCTTGGAAATACAAGTTTCAAGAAAATACTTTTAAGAAGGAAAAATGTATGTTGCTTAAAAATTAACGAGTTACAGAGAAGGTTTTTATATACCTAGATAGATAAAAAAATTAATAACTGCTGTAAAGTCAAACCATTAAGTAAAACGAATTTTGTTTAAAATTTTAACTTTACAACTACTTGTCATTTTTAAATTCATGTAAGAAATAATGGAGCGGTATCACATCCCTTTACCTATTTTCTCCAATTATACCATCTTTCAAAATTTACAGTGAGATCTGTGCATCGAAAAGTAACTGCAATTATGAAGGCTGCCTATCAGTAAGATTCGCTGTGGACATTCGCAAGCCCTCCCTAATGCAGCCACATGGCAACCTGCATTGACGTGTGCCCGCAAAGCAAGAAAATCTTTACTTTCTGTGAAATGCTGGACAATTTATGAATTCGTGCAATACTCTAAGAGCCACAACAAAACCAAAAACACCCACAGGATTTATTCTGGCACCCAAAGTTCTAAATAACTCTAAATTGACACCCTTATTAAAAAAAAAAAAAAAAAAATCCTGTGCTTGTTTCAAACTGCATGTAACCAGCTGGCTGAGGCTTTGCAAAAGCTCCTCGCACAGAGTTGGATTAGAGGCTTTATGAGACAGGGGCCTGTCCAGGATTATGTTCTGAATTTGACAGTAAGAAATACAGTTTAAGAAGTACCGGGCACTAGCTTCCGCCTCTCCCAAGTGCTGTGCCTCTGAAATCTCTGAGACAGATGCACTGAAATCCCGCGAGCTGTGCTCTAAGATCAGGCCCACACACAGAGGCAGGCAACAAGTTGTGCAGGACGCTGGAAAGCCAGCAGAGTGACACAGATTGGTAATCAGCCTCTGGAAGGCCAAGGTCATGAATCAACTTACACTGAGCGAACCCTACATATGACTAAAACCAACCTTTCATTGACGATCTCAAGCTGAAAGCTGTCACTGAAGCGTGTTATCTTTGCAGAAGGCTGTCAAGCGTTGCAAGTCAAGTAGAAAACCACATCAGTGAGCCCAGTCCATTGCCCCTGGCAGGCTTCCAGAGCTGGGCATGAGGATGGCACTCAGCGCCAACTTCTGACCATACCCAAGGTGGTGAAGCTCTCCCGAGCCACACGCAGACGTCCTGGGGAGGAATGCCCCCTCGCAGTTTACTACAAGACACCTGCACTGAAATTCGAAGCAGGACCACTAGTAGAACATGAATTTTAAGGAGAAACACAAAATCTATGCTGGGGAATGAAAAGGTGTAAAAACACAGCAACGCTGGTACACAAGTTCTTCCCGAGCAGAAGGAATCAAGGTATAGGACCGGGACAGGAAGGACAGCTGCTTAGGAAGGTATAATGACAAACAGCCCAGAACCAGGAATCAGTGCCTCGAGTCAGTGGGGAGCAATTCTGAGGGCAGGACAGGCCACTCACAGCAGGAACAGTGCAGAGAAGGTTGGAGCTATGACGTTCCACGTGTAGCCAGTTAGGGCCAAAGAAAAGGCTGCTCTGCCATTCACGGTGTGCAGGAGAAGCAGGGCAGAAGGTGCAGGCCGCAGCCCGGGGCGGGGCCTCTTGCAAGCAAGCCCCTAAAGGGATGGTGAAGAGTGGCCTGCAGTGACACTCTTCACCACAAAGTATGCCTTCAAAGAGCAGGAGAGGAAGGAAGAGCAAATAGATTTTCATGGCTATGAGGTGTAGAAATCGTCTCTAGGACTCCACACCCCCCCAAGCAGCGGGAAGCGGAGGCAATACGGCTTCTGTGTTGGCTTCCACACTGGACAATGGAGCCCAGCAAGGCATTTGGGTCTCCTTCATGGACCTTCCAGAAGTGGACCTCTTCACCTCAGTGCTTGTGGGTAAGTATCTCTTGGGGATTAGCAATGCAAAAGGTTGATGCTGCCTCTTCACAAACCCCCAAACAGCAAAGGGAACAAGGAAAAAAGAGGCGGAAAAGATCAAATTACAGATAAGAAACACAAAGAGATGCTTATCTTTATTCTGAAATACTAGGAAATGGCAACAAAGCAAAAGCTCAAGAAAGAAGGAGTCTGTTTTCATGGCATGCTGGGAGCCAGGCTATCTGACTGAGCTTTTCATGTGCTACGCCAAATGGTAGCCTCCAGCTTCCTGTGGCTGGTGAGCCCCAGGAGGTGCCCAGCACAGCTAAGGACTGGATTTTAATCTTATTTTTCAGTTACACCACATGGCTAGCGGCTACCATACTGGATTAAAACCCAAGGCAGTTGAAGCTCCCTACAGTAATGTGCTTTATGGAAGGAGCAGGATGGGGACAGGTGACCACTAGGGACACCAAACTATTGCACGTTGACCAGAGGCAAGGGAAAGAGCACAGCGCACCTGTCTTCCCCGTGTTCTTCATCCAGGTTTTGTTAGAGGACTCAACGTTAAAGCCTTCTAGCTTCAGCTCCTGGTATTCTTCCCCGACGCGAGCATGGTGGTCTAAGATGTCTATGGGCGACTGGTGGCGGCCTCCGCAGCTGACGCTGGATGTGACCCAGTGCTCGGGGCCATAGTCACCTGTTGAAAAACAAGAACATTTCAGTGCACACAGCTCAAGGCCAGGGATGGAGCAACTAAGATTCAGAACACCAAGGGCTCGAAGTTTCAAAGTCCACTTTTCAATAGGTCCCTATTTCATAGAAATCAGTGCAGAAATAAAAATTATGGATTAAGTCCATCTGCTGGACACGGCAAGATTTCAGAAAAGATATGCTGCTTCACAGAAGTTTCCTTCCTGAATTGCCATCAAATTTTGCTAATGTAATCTTTAATCAGATTCAGGGAGCTGCACAGAAGGGCTGTCAGAATTGTTCACATTTTTTGAAAAATTACAAATAAGATTCCTAAGATAATCCGAGCATTCATTCACAACAAAGTGACTTAATGCGGGGACCAGAGTTCGATCCCTGGCACCACATGCCATGTGGCCCACCCGCGGGCAGGGCATGCTGAGATGGCGAGTGAGAGTGGGTGTGGCCTGTACTTCCAGTACTTGGGAGGCTGAAAACAGGAGGATCACTAGGAGTCCGATCTGCATGGTGAGACCTTGTAGACCCTGTGCTAAACACATAAAAATTTTAAAAAGGGACTTAATCACTTTAGTAGTTTTGCTATTGTGAACAATGTCCTAAGTAGAACTTGCCTTTTAGTGCATAGGAATCAGTAAACACGAAAAGAAGAAAAAAAAAAAAAAAAA